CCCTGCCCCAGCACCAGTGCTGGGCTTTAAATCAGGGAGTCCAGGAACCTGGGATCCAGAACAGGTTCTATTATCATCTGAGTAGTTAACTTTGGGCAAACTAGTTTCCCTCTGTCAACTCCGTCCTTCCCCGGTCTCTGAAGTGACCTTCAGTCCTCCTCAACATGCATCAGCAGCACCTACCACATGCCGGGCACTGTGCCAGAGCAGGAGATGGCCCTCTGCCTCTGGGAGCGTCAGGTAGAAGTGGGCAGACACCGCCTCAAATGACTAACACCAGGCAGAGTGAGTGTAACAGTGGAAGCCCAGTGAAGGACTGATTAAAGTGGAAAGAATTAAAGGTCATTTAACACCCTGTGGAGCAAAAAAAAAGACATCTTTTGTACAGTTGTGTAAGATTTTTATGCTTCAAAGGAGCATTCTGGAGAAAGGTAAATAATGCAAGCCCAAAGCTGAGACATAGACTATTAGGACTTATTTGGATGAGCTGGAGATGATGGCAGGGCAGCAGGAGCTTGGGACATAGTAAGTAGGTCCTGACAGTGATGTTTCCATCTGCTAACCCAAGGATTTAGGCCAACTTCAGGAAAAACAGTGCAGCACCAGCACTTCATTCATTTATTTATACATTTGCTTGTTCCTTCAACAAGCATGGATTCTTTATTATGTGACAATCACTAATCTGCATCCTGAGAAGAAAAAATTATTAAGACAGATTCTTTCCTTAAGAAAATCACAGACTGGGCCCTCCCTGGTGGCACAACGGGTTAGAGCGCAGCACTGCAAGCTGGCTGCAGCCGCTTCAGTGCGAGTTCGAGCCCCTCCCCAGAGGTGACCCACATGGCCCAGCAGACCTCTCCTGACCTGCCCACTGCTCCCCTCAGCAGTGTACTTTGTTGATCTGCCTGTTCTGCTCCCCACTTTGTCTCTGGTGAATCCTCTCACTGCCCCTGCACCTCTGGCCTGAACCCCAGTTCTGTATGCATAAATAAATAAATCTTTAAAAAAAAATCACAGACTGATGGGGGAAACAGGTAACTATGGTGCGTAGCCCTGAGCGGTTGCCCCTGCTCCAGGCACACATTTGAGCAAGTAATTGATTGTGGAGATAGAGGGTGTAAGAAATAACTTTTAAAGGTGTGCTTTGAGCAGCGCTTGAAGGATAAACAGAAGCAGGCGCTCGTCTTTCAGACACAGCAGCATTGCTGCAAAAGCGAGAGGCTTGATGGCAAGAGACATAGTGGGACTGTGGGTCCTGAGAAGGAAACTAGGGAGAAGATGCTGGAGAGCAGGGCTGGAGCTGGAGTATGCTTAGCCACAGCCCTGAAAATGTTTCAACTGGGAAGTTAGAGAAGTAAAGAAGTAAATGTCAGTAGGCTCAAGGGGCAATGGGAGAGGCCCTGGGCAGATGATGGGGAGGCTGGTCACTGCAGAAGGACTTGCAGGAGGACCTGGACTGGAGTGGATTCAACAGGATCTGATGTCACTATTGGGTGAGAAACAGTAAATTTGGGTAACTCCCAAGTTGCTGACCTTAGTGACCAGTGCCATTCTCATGACAGGAGACTGTAGGGAGTCTTGCTTTTTAAGGTTACACATTGTTGTTTAAGGCTACTATCTGCATGCTCTTCCCACCCCCACTTTGAAGTCTTTGAGGAGCTTCCCACTCTCAGCAGCCCTCGCCTGGCCCCTCCACAATCAGCCCTGCTTTCTACTGCCTTTGCTCCAGCCACAGCAACTTGCAGTTCCTTGAATTTATCAGATTCTGCTTTACCTCTTTGTCACCTCTCACTAGGACACTACTTCCCCTCTCTTGCCCTTTGCTTGGCTGACTGCCAGACTGACTCATGCAGAACTAACACCTTGGAAGACACCCCCACCACACACACTCATATTCTGTACCACCACCACCACCAGGACAGTTAGAATAAATCAGCCTCACACTCGGCCCCTTGATTGTAATGACTTGCATGCATGTCTTCTACTGCTCTGTCCACACCCAGCCCAGGGCCACAGGCATCTCTGGGACCAGTGTCCTGGTCCAGATGGAAAAGGGACAGAAGTGATTGTTAAGTGAAGATTCCAAGTGGCGGGATCCAACAGAGAATTGGAAATCCCAAAGACAGGTGTGAGCGACATCAATACCTTATGTCTACAACTGGGTTCCCATCCTCTGCTCCAGACACATTATATGAGTTCGATGATGTTCAGTGATCTAGGTTATGGTTGTGTGTAGAATGGGATAGGAAGGGAGGACAGACACACGGGAGTCAAGAGAGAAGGGCCACCACAGGGAAGGTCCTTCAGGACTAAAGGATACAAGTTTATAGAAGAGAGAACCTGGTCTAGACACCTGTTTCCCTTCCTCTTGGCAAATCGCTGGGCCCTACTTTCTACCACCATCTGCTGGCCAAATCTGTAACAACAAGCCCACGAGCTGAGAGCATATGTGAGTGCAAGTTCCATGGATAGGTCTCTAAGGTCCGCAGCCTTTCCTCATCCCTCTCACCTTCCATGAACATGCCGGTTCGCATATATCTGAGATTTATTTTCCTTCTACTGGTGAGAAGTTCCAATAACATTTTATCAGATTCCTGAAGATGCTTACAGCCTAAAAAAGGCTAAGTAAGAGTCACTGTTATAAAGATTGTTCTAGAATAGTGAATCTTATCCCCCCACCCCTATGACATCCTAAGAGAACCATCATTTAAGAGCTAGAAAAGTAGATCTGGACCCCTGCTGGCTCAAAATCTTTCCCTCCGGTTTCCCAAGACACTTACACAGAACACAGAACCCCGTCTAAACACACTTTAAAGACGCGGGCTTTTGGAGGGAGCTACAGAACCAGATGGTCCCATAACCATCGAGACCACTCGGTCACGCCTTGGCCAGGACAGCCTGGTGAAGCTCACAGAGCAAGCCAGCCAGTAGCAGTGCTGGACCCTGCACAAATCCTTCCACTTTCAGATCTTCTTAATATTCAAAACCTCTTCTATCCTGACTATAATTTCCCACATAGAAAAGCATTGTTTCCTATGGATTTGTAGACTTTTGGAAAGAGTACTTCCCCCTCTAAATGCCTCTCAGCAACCAGGATGCATGGTAGGAAATAAAGCTGTAGCTTATGTTTGAATAGTTCTTTATAACTTTGACACCAACATCCATTACTTGGTTTATTTTACAGGGTGGAAACTGAGGCTCAGATAAAAGATTTGCTTATTATTGACAGATGCCAATGTAAAAATTCTTTCCACTATCTCACAGCCTTTGATACAGAGTGTGTATATTCTGTGGCATTTAAAGCAGCTAACAAGTGGCTTGTCGGAACTGTTGGGGGAGGAGAGAGACCAGCCCTTACTAATTGCAGCCATTTGAGGAAAGAGAGAAGATAAAATACTGGCATTGAACATCTGTGTGGCAGATAGACTAGACTTGATTTATTTATTTTACATTTCTATGGTTTGTTAGTAGTAAACCGTATTCATGGTCTTCAAAAATATGGCTTGCAGCATTTAATAATGGCAAATTACTCAAAATAGGATAAAAAATGATATGCTTCAAAACAAATATGAAGAGTCAAGAGCATAATGGACAACTTGTTTTAAAGGAAGGAGGCTTGTTTATTAGGGTAAAATATAGAGAACATACAGTTTTACCATCTTAACCTTTTTTTAATGATTCCTTTTCTTCTCTTTTCCTTATTGAGGTAACACTGGTTTACAGCACTACAGGATTTAGGGGAATAGGTTCACATCTTGTCAGAGGTGTTTCCACCCCACCCCACCACCCAACACCTACAGCCTGTTACCGGAGATGGTGAAGGTGGTATTGGGCCCCTCCCACCTTTGTTCCCAACCCCATCCTCTCCCCTCTGGTAACCTCAATTTTGCAGTCATATAGGAAGAACTTGAAATACCTTCATAAAATCATGAAACCAGATCTGAATAAATGGAACAATTACTGCACTCTTAAGTGGAAACATTTAAAAACCCTAAAATGTTAATGTTCCACAAATTGTAAGCCAAAATTCAATTCCAATTTTAATTCACTTCATAATTGCACACCATACTATATAAATTCATCAGATTATTAAGTTTAAAAGTAGTTTTAAGAGAGCTAAAGTGAAAAATAGTAAAGTAAGGACTCGCTTTACCAGATACTAAAAATTTTACTAAGCCACTGTAGTCTATAGGTGTGGTGTTGGTTTAAAAGCAAGCAAATAAATGAGTAGAAAATAAAAGAAATTCTGGAAATAGATCTGCACATAGGTAAGAATTTAATATCACACAAAGGTGGTGGCATTTTAGCTCACTGAAAGAAGAGTTTCCTTAATGAATCTGGGCCCTCCCTGGTGGCGTGACAGGTTAGGACGCAGCACAGCAAACTGGCAGCAGCTTCGGTGAGCGCTCAGTTCCCAGCCCCGGAGGTGACCACATGGCACCTCTCCTGGCCCACCCGCTGCGCCCCTCAGCTGTGTACTCTGTCAGTCTGCCTGTTCTGCTCCCCACTCTGTCTCTGGTGAATCCTCTCACTGCCCCTGAACCTCTGGCCTACCCCAGTTTTGTATGCATGAAGAAATAAATCTTTTTTAAAAATAATAAAATAAATGATACTGACAAAGCTGGCTCTCCGTCAAGAAGAATTTAAGTTGAATTTCTTTCTATAATATGTAAAAATAAATTACGGATGGATTTAAACTTAACTAAACATGATAAAATTCTTAGCAGTATAGTCTGATTTACTAAAAAAAAAAAAGAAAACCTTCCAAATATGTCTTTAGTCACCATTTTTGCAGATGTGTAAGTTGAAGCTCAGAAAGAAAAAGGGCCGTCCCCAAGGTCAAGCAGCTGGTGAGCTGAGATAACCCCAGGCCTGCCTGCCTCCCAGCCCGGGCTTGCTCCACAGGAGCGAGCCGCATGCACTTGGGCCATGCTGCTTGCCGCCCTTGGTGGTCCTGACTTCCTCTAAGCTCCCTGCTGCCTCTCTCCTTTCTCTCTCAGGAGTGCCAGCTTCTCTCAGGGCACCAGGGCCTCATTTCTGATGAGGAGCGACACAGCAGTACAGAAACTTGCCCAAGGCAACGGACACTGTGTCAACGGGGTCAGCGGTCAAGTCCATGGCTTCTACAGCCTTCCCAAGCCAAGCCGGCACAATACAGAATTCAGAGACAGTACCTATGACCTCCCCCGGAGCCTGGCCTCCCACGGCCACACCAAGGGCAGCCTTACTGGGTCCGAGACTGATAATGAGGATGTGTACACCTTCAAGACGCCCAGCAACACTCTGTGCAGGGAGTTCGGAGACCTCCTGGTAGACAACATGGATGTCCCAGCCACCCCACTGTCAGCCTACCAGTTCCCAAGGACAGTGACACTGGACAAGAACCACAATGCCATGGCAGTGGCCACTCCTGGGGACTCAGCCATGGCGCCTCCACCCCGACCCCCCAAGCCAAGCCAGGCAGAAACGCCTCGATGGGGCAGCCCTCAGCAGAGACCTCCAATCAGTGAAAGCAGCAGATCGGTCTCTGCTGCTGCCACCATCCCCAGGCGCAATACCCTTCCTGCCGTGGACAACAGCCGGCTTCACCGAGGTCAGAGTGAGCCCTCGCCGGGATCTGTGGGTGAGGGAGGTCATCAGGGGTTCTTGGTAATTTGCTAGTCCTGAGTCATCCATAACTGGGGGAGACGTAAAGACCACCAGGTCATTGACAGGGTTCAGACCTCTTCTACCCAAAACCCTTCAGAGTTGGTCTTCCAGAACTAGAGGCCAAGCAAACACCCACACTGGCAAGGGTATAGCAGACCCTACCTCAGAGAAGTTGCTGTACTGTATGTAGTAAGGGAGATAGAACATCCTGGTTAACAATACAACACATTGTAGGGTTTAGAAGCCCAAATCGTAGTATTTTATTTATCTATAAATCAAACCAGAGATTTAAAGGATAAATCGAGAGGGCTCGCTCAAACTGGAGCCAACCTATGTGAACTACAGAGTACAACATTAAATCTTCAAAACTGTGTCTAAGCCACACTTGAATCTCTCTGGTTCAAGTCCAGATGTCTATCTGAATTATTTAAATTCCATTGTCACTTGTTTTCTACTTTAGTTCAACTGCGTATACACTTGATGAGAAAGTAAATTAGCTCCTTTCACTTTGCATCTTGATTTATCAGTTGTGAAGCCTGTCCGGATCCACTATGCTGTCTAAACCATGTAGTGGCCCCTGAGAGCGGAGTGTGCACAACTGAACCTCCTTGTTTTCATTTCACACGAAGCCCGTGGTAGGTTCGGAGACTACTCAGGGTGGTGAAGTGGCAGATAGGACTGGTACGGAGGTCCTGACTCCTGGCCAGTGCTCAGTCATCAGCTATCTGATGAATCATCCTGTGCTTTGGAACTGAGATGAGAGAGACGTATAAAAACATGCACCTGCCCATCAGAGAACTCACATTTAGTTGGGAAAGGAAAACACATGTCATTCTTTCCTTAGTACTAGTGATATGGGTGGGTGGGACAGGAAGTAAGGGCTGCGGAGCGAAAGGGTAAGTACCTAAATGAGGGCGGGAAGAGTCCAGGAGGGTTTCTCTAGATGCTGGAGGAATTTCGTAATGGAGAAGTATTGTGCTGGAAGTTATGCCTGATCATTTGCAGTTGACAGTAGTATCTGCTGGAGCATCAGGAAGCCCCCGAGCGGTACTGGTGAGGGCATGGAGATGTGTCAGCACATGACTCAACTGTGCATGCGTGTGGCTGTTCCTCTCTTGCAGCTTCTTCCTGTGAGACCTACGAGTACCCCCAGCGTGGCGGAGAGAGTGCAGGCCGGTCTGCCGAGTCCATGAGTGATGGGATCAGCTCTTTCCTGGTGAGTGGGATTTAGCCAGGGGTCCTCAGGCAGCTCAAGTGGACCAAAGGGCATGTCACAACGAATACTAGACCCCAAGAATGTCGGTGTCTCCCTGTCAGGACCCTGCCTCACTTCTGGTCTCAGTTCAGAGCCCTGGGTTGTCTCCCAGACCACGAATTTGGGAAAGTAGGACACAGGTATCCTGGCCTGGGGATAGATGTGCTACTTAGGCACACTAGAACACAGGCTCTTACCCTGCGGGTAAGCAGGTGGCGTGCAGGCACTGAGCTGGCGGATCTGCGGCGGCGCCCTTACCCCCGAGGTCTCCATGGAAGCAGGTGCCGCCCCCCAGTGTGACTCCAGGGCAGGTGTGCTCCGAGGGACGCTCTTGACTGCAGGATTAGGTTTGAGAGCAGAATCCCAGGCTGCCTCTGGAGGGGTTCACCACAGTTCTCCAAAGTGGCAGGCCCACTGGAAGGACTGAAAGTTAGATGACCGAGGCAGAAGCAGCTTGTTGCCTGTCTGCACAGACAGGGCAGGAGCTGATGGCAGCCCTGATACAGCGTGGCTGGGAAGCACAACTGACCCCAGACCTCACCAGCTGAGGCTACGGCTCCTAATATGTTCTGTGGGCTGCTCAGGGCTGAGATGATGAGTCTGAACTTGAGATGGAGGGTGGGTCCTGAGCCAAGCTTTTGCAGTCCAGGGCCTGTGATACCCTCTGCCTTTGGTCAGGCATCCAGAAAGGCTTATCGGCCCAGCCACCACCAGGTTATTTTATATTAAAGATTTATTACAAATTATAAGTGGGTCCCAAGGGATTGTGGAAGCTAGACAAGACCCACAGATCTGACTTCCTCCTGTCCTCTCTGCTTTATTTGGTTTCCTTCTGACTCTCCAGTGCAGCTGACTCGGTCACGACTCTCTCTGCCATGTGTACAGATTCTCACACCCATTGTTTCTTCCTACCAGTGATTGTTGTTTCTTGTACGCTCCACCAGCCAGGAAAAGCAGTTGTGGGCCGGTCAGACAGCACCACTTCTGAAGACAACTACGTGCCCATGAATCCAGGTTCCTCCACCCTGCTGGCTATGGAGCGAGCAGCTGATCACTCCCAGAGTGTCTACATCCCCATGAGCCCCGGGCCCCACCACTTTGACCCGCTTGGCTACCCCTCTACAGCCCTTTCTTTGCACCGTGGCCCCAGTCGAGGGAGTGACATCCAGCCACCCCCCGTCAACCGCAACCTCAAACCCGACCGGAAAGGTAAGCTCTTTCCCTGCCCCATCTGTGAATGATGTCCAGGGACTAACTGCATTCAGTTAGGGTTCAGGTGAATCCTGTGCATTTCTTGCAAGGAAGTGGTACCTAAGCCACCCACAGCTCTCTCACACACCCCAAATTCAACCCCGTGGTCTGGCATTCTGGGAGCTGGCTGCTGGAACAGGTGCTGGTTCCAGAAGTGCCACCTGCTGACATGTAGCTGCAGAGGGATCATTCCACATCGCTGAATCTTGTTTCTTCACAGTGAAATGGGAGGTGTAGTTACCTCCCAGAGCCAATGAGGGTGATCGTATATTCGAAAGTACTTTGTAGATATAGGTTAGAATCCTTATCCAGTGCTTCATTGGTGTGTTGACTTATTTGTATGTAATATTTACATTGAGTTACATTTAAATTTTTAAGTTCTAATGTATAAAAGAATTATGTATTTTTCATTTTGAGCCTAGGTTTTCTTCTGAAAACCCAGGAGTAAATTGGGGATAGTGATTTCTCCTCCCCAGTTTAAGCATCTAGGACATTGACAGTGGAGCAACAGTGTTGAGTAATGTGAGCTGGTACCCTCGAGACCAGGAAGAAGTCATGAAGGTCAGGCTCTGGTTTTGCCTCATCCTGATGTCCCCTTCCTCCCCAGCAGGATCCAGAGCCTGTGTCTGTGAGCAGCAGGGAACTCAGTGCCCTTCTCCATTTTAAGTAGCAGCTCTTATTTTCATAGAGGCTGTGCTTAGGATATGGAATTTGAAGGCTTGATTTAAAGGCCTAGCAACTTGAGCAAAGATTACTTAACCTTGCTGAGCCTCAGTCTCCCTGTGTGAAACCGGGATGATATATTTGTATGCCATGTGTCACACATGTAGTATGTGTGGTATTCTCGCCATTTCTGATTATGCAACTCTCTGTTCTGATCCAGCAAAGCCAACACCACTTGACCTGAGAAACAACACTGTCATTGATGAGCTCCCCTTCAAATCACCTGTCACTAAGTCTTGGTCAAGGGCCATGTGAGTGTCGGTTGGTGGAAGAGGGGGGTTGGAACAGGCCATCCGGGCTGATGAGGGCAACGGTCACCAGGCCATGAGTCAGGGACGCTGTGTCCTGCCGATAAGCTGTCTCTCATGCTGCTGGGAACCTACACCTGCTGTGCACCAGATCAGTCTGATGATGGCATGTGGGGGTCAGGGGCCAGCTGGAGGCTGAAAGCCTCTCCAGGATTGACTGATTTCTCCCCTCAACAGCCACAGCTTCAACTCCAGCTCCTCCCAGTACTGCCGCCCCATCTCCACCCAGAGCATCACCAGCACGGACTCAGGAGACAGCGAAGAGAACTACGTCCCTATGGTGAGTCCCCTGGGACCTACCTGTCCATTCCTCACCACTCAGCTAGTCCGCTTTAACTCAGGGCGCCCCAGTATCTGATCTAATTTACTTCCGCAATCATTCTTGAGCACATTGTGTGCGCAGCACTGAGATGTCATCAGAGGCAGAAATGGAGACTTGGTCTTAAGGAGCAGAGAAGACCTGCCTCACTGGTGTGCTCCAGTGCCGGGAAGGCCATGCTGCAGGGTATGGGCCTGCAGGGCAGCAGTCTGGGGGAGCTGGAACTTTTCCTGTGGGCAAAAGGAAGCCCTACAGGGTTTAGCAGATCAAATGACTGACTAGCCAGGTGCTTCAGAATCAGCATGGGTGACAAATGCACCCTTCGAGTTAGCCTCCTGCTGTTCTGTTAAAATCTTTTAAAAGTCAAAAATCTTTGCTATTTCCTTATCCTTTTTATCCCAAGACCATGAGCAGATACATGAGTGTAAGCACTGAGCATCTGCTTAGCGACGGGAAAACATTGGCCTGTGACTCACTGGTAATGGCCATAATCGCAGTGTAAGCACAGGAACACACGGCGTCTCCTCTGAGACGTTCATTGAGAAGAGAACAGGTGTTCAACACCTGGTAGGTGCTGCATAAAGAGTGAACCAATGAATTAGCCAACAAAAGCAAACGTAGTTTACCTACTGCCTCTTTCACTCAAAGATTTCAGAAACCTCTTGAAAGGTTGGTTTATCCCTGCTAGAGGCAGGGCCCTACAGCACGTCGGTGGCAGCGCTGCTGGAGGACAAAGCAGGGACGAGGCCACTCTGGCCCCCTGCACTCACTCCTTAACGGCCAGGAAGCAGAGGCTGGGTTTGTTGGGAGACTGGCCGGGAGGTGTCCTGATGCCTTGGCAGAGAGGCAAGATGGTAGAGTAGGATCAGCATGGGCCTGGTCCACACCCCTGAGCACCAGCTGTGCAGCCAGAGGCCTCACACAGCACAGGACTGGTGCGAGGGTTGAACGAGAACATGGGAAGGCTGGGTACAGTGTGTGCCTCCTCGAGAGCATTTCCCTGATAAGGGTGAAGCTGTTTCCCAAACTAACTGGCTTTTCCTTCTCTGACAGCAAAATCCAGTGTCTGCGTCTCCCATTCCCAGTGGCACCAACAGCCCAGCCCCTAAGAAGAGCAGTGGCAACGTTGATTATCTGGCCTTGGACTTCCAGCCAAGCTCCCCCAGCCCCCACCGCAAGGTGCCTGGGGTGGGTGGGATGAGTTTCCTGGGGTGGGATCCTGAGGTGAGGGAGTCTTGAGCGCCACTGTGCGTCAGTCCCTTCACGTGCTCGCAGGGCATATCAGGGACAGATCCAGGAATCCCATGCCCTGCGACCTCACTGTCTGATACTGGGTCCTGTGCGGGACTTCTGGCCTAGGAAAGCCCTTCGCAGGAAGCAAGGCCAGGCACTCCTCAAGGAACATGACCGACGTCCTATGACTGGTCCTGTGTTGGTGCCCAGAAACTTCCTTCCCCCAGATGAGGAGCCACAGGGAGGCGGTGGGGACAGAGCTCAAGGCCTAGATACTTCCACTAGGAAAGGGGTTATTGCCTCCAACAGTAGGGGTTCAGCATTTAAAGCTACTTTCGGAGAAGGAAGACAGGCTCCTGAAGCCAGTTAACTGGCAGAGCCTACCTGCTCCCCACCTTGCTGACAGCCAATTCCACTCTGTCCCCTAGCCATCCACGTCATCCGTCACTTCCGATGAGAAGGTAGACTACGTCCAAGTGGACAAGGAGAAGACCCAGGCCCTGCAGAACACCATGCAGGAGTGGACAGATGTGCGACAGTCCTCGGAGCCTTCCAAGGGCGCCAAGCTGTGACTTGGGGGCTTGCCACGCCTGGAGAGGGGCCAGGAGGCAGCGTTTCTGGAACTGCCTCCACTCTAACCCCCTCTCTCATCCCCCATCACCCCCTCAGCCACCGCCTCCTTACTTTGCCACTCTGGCCTTCAAAGCACTTGACATCAGGGACCCTGAACCCTTCCCCTGGGAGGTAAGGGCCTGAGTGAGGCACTTCCTCTTCCCACTCGATCCACCTTTGGTTTTCTTAATCATGGCCGAGCCTCAACCCACCTTAGTTAGAGCTATTGCCAAAAAACATCCTTCAGCCTCTTCCTGACCTTTAGATCTGAAGCTCTACCAGATATCTGGAGGGAGGTATTGGGGCTCTGAGCCAGATTCCAACCTTATCTTGTCACCTCCCTCAGCCTCCTTCCCTTCAGCTATGGGGCTACCTCTCCTGCAGTCCACAAAGCCAAGTCATCTCGCTGACCCAGGGAGCCATGGACCAGCAGACCAAAGTAGACATAAACTTCTTCATCCCTGTCTGCCTTGGCAAGGGAGAGGCAAGGCCACCGAAAGATAAGGTTAGAGGTGGTCTTAAAGGTAGCTGGCATTAGCGCCCCAGAGGTGGCAAGACAGCTGTTGTGTACAGGAGAGGCAGAAGGCTGAGGACAAAAGGGAACCTGAGGCTGGGTGAACAAGGAGCTGGGCTTGGAGCTGACAAGAACACTGCAGGACCGCACCCCCAGAAGTGTGGCTCTAAGCCACTCTGGGATGGAATATGCTCGTCAGCCAGTGAGAGCACCGGCTTGGGCTGTGCTGGGCGTGGCAGCATGTAGTGGGAGCAATGCAGCATGAGAAATGGAGTAGGGGGCACAGAAGGATGCAGGGCTGGAGAGGCAGCCATGGAACAAGCTCGGCAGAGGCACAGGAGATTGCAGGAAGGAGTGTGCAGCACAGGCCTTTTGCAGGCGGTGCAGGACACAGATGCGGTGACAGGTGGGCAAATGCAGGTGGAACAGAAAGTGAAAGGTGTTAAGTCACATCAGGAGGGCGGCGTGATGCGGGCAGTTCCAGGACGCTAGCACTAGGTAAAGCAAGCAGACCAAAAGGGAGGGCATACGGAACGGGCTGGCTGCCCGTTCCAGGTCCCACTCTGGCCTCAAACTTGACTACAGGGAGGCCAGGCCCCTCCTCCCATAGCTTGAAAGGTCATCAGATGAGCATCCTGCCAGAGACAGGAAGTAGGGCATCATCCTGGCCCTTCATACCTAGCCTGTGGGATCTGAATCTTCTTGAGCAAATTCAAATACAAAAGTTTCAGAGACAACTGGGCTGACCTGATGTCGTCTCATCCTACCCGGGTGAAGAGACCTTCCTCCCCCACACAACAGCTTCTACCTACCATGTGTCTGAGAATGGCTACTGCTTACCATGTGGCGCCTGTGAGCACACGCCCACTGCAGCCCCAAGGCCTGACCGTCCCTGAGCAAATCCCATCTGGGAGGACTGACTTTCTCAGTAGTAGGCCTAGTATTCGTTCTCAACAGCCACTGGCTACTGTAGCTGGACTCTGGGCTAGGCACTAAAGACACAGGCACTAATCAGACTTGGGGTCCCTGTACTTGAGGCCATGGTTAGTGAGAAGACAACACTGCTGATGGACTGCTGAGGAAGCAAGGGGTAGAGTAGAGAGGGGTGAAAGTTTCTAGGAAAAGGCCCTGAGACAGGCTGTGGGGTGGAGAAGTGATGTGAAAGCCCGGTGTTTTGAGAATAACTGGTCTCGGAGAGGATGGGTCTGGCCACTCGCCTGCACTTCCTGAGCATGCGGTGATGTGAAGGAGCCTGGTTGGATCTCCTGTGACAGGCAGGTCTAACCTCCAGCAGGGCCTCATTCCAGCTCTTGGTTCCCACAACTCCCATCCCTTCAGGGTGGAGAGAGAAGTGAAAGGAAGCATGAGAGGAAGAATGTGGCCTGTTGAAAGCAGAGATGCTCACAAGCCCCGAGTCACCACACGTTAGTACACACCTATTGGCCCAGTTTAAAACCTGTGGTCTATCCATGGGTCAGAGCCCACCACTCCTGTTGGCCTGGCAAGGCCTGACACCAGAATGGAGATAATTCTCAGCCATCATAACTCAAACAAAGCCTCAGCCTGTCTGGGACGCGCCAAGCAATGGCTGTCCTTGTCCACTTGCGGCTCTAGAGGGAGTGTCAGCCACAGGGAGACGAAGTCGGATATGGGGTCAGATGGTCTCGGAGCGGGGGGGCGGTCACTCTGCTCTGTGACTTTTCTCTTAAAGGTCAGGACCACCAGGGACCAGAGCCTTAGCCCTTTAACCCAGTCCCCTCCCTAGGTTAATTTCGGTAACGTCTACATTTGAGACCACTCAGATACACCCCGCTCCTGAGACAGAAGCACAACCATTCTGAAGTGACTGGAGTATGAGCTCAGCTCCAGTCTGCCCTTCACCTGAGGCTAAGGCCTCAGCCGAAGCCATGGCCAGCTAGCACCCCGCTCCCCCAGAGGTCTGGAAAATTCAGGGCAGGAGGCTGATGCGCACACCCTTCCCTGTTCTGGGCTTTCATCTGCAAAGTGGGGACACCTGGCAGGCCACCTGAGCTCCAGAGCCCTCCTACAGGGGCCCTTGTGCTGGGATTCTCAAGTTTTCTGGGGCCACAGCAGGTTGCCTCTGAGGGGCCCACTGGAGCTTGAGGCTGTCGTGTGGTGTATGTGTTCTTGTGTGTTGGTTAAATGTGTCTTGAAACTTTAGAATCATTTCACACAGAGCTGTCGGTATTTGTTGGGACAAGAAAATGGGCTAGAAGCCCAATCTTGAGTTCTTTCCCTGTTGCCATTTAAAATTGACATTTAATTTTTCAAATCACTTGTTGGTGCCTAATCACTTAAGTTATTAATTTATTCTGTTCTGTTTTCTTTAAAACAAAATTTGTAACACCTATTTATCCTGTGAGTAGGTCTGGGGTGGGGTGGGAACATGTTTTGGTAGGTCCTGGTTTCTGCTGTGGTGACACATGGTACAGGCTGGAGCTCGCAGGGCCCTTTGTACTGTGGTATTGAGCAGGACAACAATAAAGTCCATTAGAAGCAACCAGAAAGGGCTGCCGAGTCTGCTTGTCTGCGGAAGACGGACACACTCCCACTTGGACCCCAGCACCGCAGCGGGGTGCCCATGAGCAGCCTTCGGCTTCTCAAACAAACCGTTCAGAATGGTTTCTCATGAGCCTAGGAAGGCTGGTGTGTGCCAGCCTGTTCCACTTTCACCATAACAAAGAACCAGGTAGTTTTCCTGGCTGGGAACAAGAACGAATCCTCCTTACCTCAGAGTCTGTATTTCTGATGTATAAAATGGAAATTGCAGCAGCATCTGCCCATTCATCTTTCTTAGAAGGTGCCCTGGACTGGAAGCACAGAGGTGGGTTTGGATTAGGCCTCTACCAGCCTGACATCAGGGGAGGTGCTCAGCTTCTTCAGCTACAGGCTGGGTGCTGCCTTCCCACCACCTTTGCTCCCCCATGGTGATGGGCCCCTGTGTGAGGGTTGATGGTGGCCCCAAGAATGGGGCCACCCCCAGAGAGGCCACCCCCAGAGAGGCCACGGGAGGGAAAGCAGAAGGAATGTGGTACCAGCTCTAGCCATTTCTGGGAAACCCAGGGTATTAGGAGGTCTGAGAAGTCCCCAGACATTGGGGTTCCAACCCTACCTAAAAGACCAGGACTGCCCAATGGGATGCTATACAGAGGACTCACCTATGTGCCTGCCTCAGGACTGCGCTGCTTCCTTCTGCCAGCACCTGGTTCTGTCCCACCGCTAGTCAGGCCCCCACCTTATTCACATGGCACCTGAGTGCAAGGTGCCATCACCTCCCAGGGTGTAGAGCACAAGTCAGTGGGGTCAGGGGGCATCTCCTCATTCCCCAAATGCAGTAAGACATCAAGGGTGACACGGACATCACAGCCCCTGAGGCGGGGAAGAATGACATCTTTAAAGGCTTCCAAGAACTATATTTATTCCTGTACGAGACCCTGGCACGCTCCATTTGGAAGGGGCTACAGCAGTGTCAGGGCGCGAGGTCAGTATCTGCTCCCCCCAGGCCACTGCTCTGAAGACCCACTGCTGAGGAGCTGAGCCAGCAGCTTCCCTCAGCACAGACAATGGCTTCATGAGAAACATCTGCAGAAAAATAAGGCCCCTCTACCTTAACCAGAAGTGGGTACAAATGGTGGCATCTCAGGCACTGAGGCAGGCTGGGGGTGGGGGAGGGACTAGGGGCTACGCATCTCCCACTGTCGCTTGGTGTGGGGGGAAGAGACCAGACGAGATTCTTTGTCTCTGAATCTCTAACCTCTGCCACACTGCTCCTGTCCTACATTCATCTCAAGAGGTCAAATGCTGCAGTACCCACAAAAGGCACCACACGCATTGCCCCTGAAACCCTTAAGAGAAATGAGGAGGAAGCTAGAGGTGACACACAGCCCCCTTTTGTGCAAGGACTAGGGTCCTGCTCTGCCATTTATGCTATAGAGCAGTAGGATTGTCTGCAAGGAGCTGGAAGGAAATGCTACTTGATGGCGAAACACTAGAGCGGTACACGTCAACCCTCATGGGTTCTGAGCAGATCAATACTCCAGTGTAACCTGTTGGGGTCAGGGGACAGAGCCCCAAGCGTGTCCACTTTGGCTGCTTCAAGTTAACCAGGACACTTGGGTGCATAATCTTGACGGGGCCAATCCCAGAGCCAGGCCCAAGGCCCGTGCAAGGAACTCAGGTCTCACCTCCACATCTGAGTCTCTGTGGCCCCGTCAGGTTGAAGACCGCTCTCCCAGAAGCTCCCGCTCCACCTTTCTTGCCTTTGGAGGGGCCCGCCTTCAGGACTGGGCTGCCACCACTGTTTCCTCAGACCCCAACCAGCAGACCACTTCTCGGAGCCTGGCCCCCACCCAGCTCCCAGAAGGAAGGGGGCAAGGCCTCCCCACAGATGGGAGCAGGTTGGGGAGGATACCCCTCAGAAGACCAGTCTGTGGAAGTCACCACCATTACCACCTGCAGGGTTGCAGCCCCCCGGAGAGCCTTCATCCTCATCCTTGTCTTCATCAAAGCCCCTCCCCCAGTGAGGAGACGAGGGGAGTGTGGAGATGTAGGCGGCCCTGCTTCGTGCCTCCTTCTCCTGCTCCTGGAAGAGGGGTAGGGGTGGGGAGGAAATTTAAAATTGGAGCAATGAAGTGGGAGTTCTCCCTTCCTCCCTGCCGCCCCACAGTGCCACACTTCAGTTTCTCCTCAGCCCCTCAGTCCAGGCACAGAGGAACCACAGCTCCCCCTCTGGCTAGTGGCGTCCCAACTCAGTAGGAGGGTCAGTCTAGACCTAGGCTTCAAAAGCAGTTCTCCCCCTCTGGATAAAAACTCCCAGCCTGGGCCTGCTGGCGCAGTGAGTTAGAGTGCAACACAAAGAAGCTAAAGCTACTTCAGCATGAGTTCGGTCCCTGGCCCCAGAGGTGACCCACAAGGTGCAATGGCAGACCTCTCCTGACCGCCCGCTGCTCCCCTCAGTAGTGTATTTCAGTAGCTCTGCCTGTTCTGCTCCCCACTCTGTCTCTGGTGAATCCTCTCACCCCCTGCACCTGTGGCCTGTACCCCAGCCCTGTATGCATAAATCAATCAATCTTTAAAAAAAAAACAAAAACTCCCAGCCCCTTGGAGAAATGAACTTATCCATACTAGACGGTGGCTAGCTGACAAGGGCCTGAGGTGGCACAGAAGAGAAGGAGGTCCACAGAATTTGAGGGTCCCACCACACTTCAGGGTCCTTTCCCAAGGCTTGTGGGTGCTGTCCATCAGCCCGTAGCCTCTTGGACGTTAGGCCCAGCCCCTGCCTGTCAGAAAGCTGTTCCTGCTGAGGTGCGGCTGGCCTTCTACTCCCTCCCCACTGCCCTGCCTCCACCTGCACAGCCTAAAGTGAGCACCCTCGACTGTCAGTGACGTGTGTCCTTCTCCCCCGTGTCTGTCTGGGCCACTGATACACTCCCAGTGAAAGCAATGGAAGAACAGACAGGAAGGACTCAGAGATCATCAGCAACCATCCAAGCCGCGTGGGGATGAGCCTCCTCCCAGGTCGGAGGTCCCACGGGTCTGCTCACCTGCAGGTAAAGGATGTTGTCTTTGGAGATGGCTTCCATCAAGTCTTTGTGGAGGGTGGGCTCTGCCCGGACCCTGGGGGAGCCTGGCTCAGCCTCAGCCCCCTCCCTGGGCCGCTGCCTGTAAAAGAGCACGTAGGCTGTGTCCTTAGGGAAGAAGGAGGTGACATTGCTGACCGACTCAAAGGAGGAGAAGGACACTCGGGTGTCGTTGAACAGGTACCACTGGTTTTCAGGCTCCGGCCGATCAGCAGCGGCCGCAGCGGCGCGAGCAGCACCCTCACGGGCGTAGCAGTAGTAATGGCCGCTCTCCGAGGACACTCCGGAGTGCACCACCACACTGCACAGGTCATAGGCCTGGCCCTGGCCTCCAGCCAGCGGCAGGCGGAGCAGCAGCGGGATGGAGACGTCATCCAGGATCTTGCGGCGCCGCATGGTGCGCAGGTCGAAGGAGAAGCGGAGCAGCGTCAGGATGAGGTAGCGCGGCCCCTGGCTCAGCTCCACCGCCTTCTCAGCATCCTGCAGCGACGCACAGGGCTCGCAGTAGTAGCGGTTCTCTGCCGTCAACCTCTCGGGGGACAGGAAGTAGTTGACCAGGTCCAGAACAGAACGGGAGCCCTCGGGGCCGCACAGCTGTTCCCCAGAAGGGGCAGCAGCCCTGCGGGTCCCTGGCCCCAGACTGTCCCCTTCCTCCTTCCCATCCTTGGCCTCCTTCTCCTCCTCCACCTCCTTCTCTTTCTCTTCCTCCTCTCTGGTCCTTTTCTCCTCCTCCTCTTGTACTTCTCCCTCCACTCGCTCCTCCTCTGCTTCCTCCTCCCTCTGCCCCTCCAGACTGCTCCCTGCCCCAGGTCCCTGGGGGCCCAGGGCTTCAATGTCCAGGACAGAGGGCGGGGTATCCCCTGTGATGCAGTGTTTTCTCTGCCTCTGAGGACCTGCCCTGCTTGGCGCCTGGGCTCGGGGTGGTGGCTGGGGCTCTGGAGACGCCACCTCCTCTGGAGGGAGCATCACTGAGCCCAGGCGGCGGCGGCGACAGCGCTCAGGTGGGGGGAAGGCAAGTGAGAGGTCTGTGAAGTCCTCCTCCCTGGAGGAGACATTGAGGCATCGGAGACAGCATATCCGAGTCACGATCTTGCCTCCGAACATCTTCTCCACAGAGGTTGACCTTGGGCAAAGGGGCTCCTCGGGCGGGGAGGGCAAGCTGGACTGCTTGAGCTTCTGGCAGATCCTGGTCCCCGTCTTCTCCTCCTCATGCAGCCTGGAGCGGGAGCACAGGGCCTTCATATGCAGAGACCCACTGCCAGGGCTCTGGCCTGGTTCATGCATATCCTTCACTCAGTTGGCACCAGGCACACGCACTACACCACCACCTGCAGACTGGCACCCAAACCCGCTGCACAGAGACGAGCCACATGCACCTATGTCCACATGTCCCCCCAAGCCACGAGGAAACGCGCGTGCACTTGCCAAAAGACGATGCGCTTCCCGAGGGCAGCACTGTTGCTTACTGATGTCTATACCCCCACACAGAACCTTGCAGAATAATTGGCCAAGGGATTTAGGTTCTATGCGGGCAGACAGTAGACAAAACACAGTCATCAGGGCACTTGAGGTTCACCCAGCACTGCATGCACATGCACACGTGCCCTTCCCTGGGCGCAGGTCAGGCATCACCTCACGCGCAGCCTGCCCCTACACTCAAGCCCACATGTGCAATGCAGCATTCCAGTCTTGTAGCACGGAAGACACACAGCCCGGAGCCTCCACCTAAACCAGAGCTGGCTCCCTTACCGATCCAGCAGGTACTTAAGGTACTCCGAGCAGTCCTGCTGGGTGCCAGGGCTGAACCAGGGTGTCCAGGATGCAGAGAGGAAGTTCTCTGGAGAAATGGCAGGCCGCTAGACCAAGGCAGGCAAAAGGCGTAGTCAGGGCCGATGTGTGCACCTGAGCGTCTTCCTGGCAGCCGTGTCCCAGATTCCCAGTCTCCTCACCAAAGTCCTCCCCTTTCTCACTATTCCTGACTCAGCCCATCCTGTCCCAGCAGGTCCACAGCCTGTGCTTGATTAGGGTCATGGAAACATACAAGCCCCAGGAATCTGCTCTTCCCCGCATACCTCATACTGTCTTCCCCAGGCCTTTGTTCATTGCCATTCCCTCTGCAAACACTCTTCTCCCCTATCAAAAGCTTAACATGGAGTTCCAAGCCTCTGATGCAATGTCACTATTCCATGACACTTCCTAATGTCCCCTTCCCCTGCATGCCCAGAGCAATCTGCATTCCCCTCTGTTCAAGCACTATAGTGGTTACCCACAGGTCCATCTTGCCAATAGACAATGCGCTTCCTGAGGGCAGCACTGTTGCTTACTGATGTCTATACCCCCACACAGAACCTTGCAGAATAATTGGCCAAGGGATTTAGGTTCTATGCGGGCAGACAGTAGACAAAACACAGCCCTCAGGGCACCTGAGGTTCAAAAACCACAGCAGACAGAGCAACACCTAGTGCAATGGACTGAATTACTGATGGCAACAGCACAGATGAGGAGGCGTCAGGATACTCAAGGAGGCACTCCCTTTGCTGCCCAATAGGGACACTGAGTCAGCTCCACGGGTTTTGGCCAGGAACCCATACCAACCCCAGACTGGGGCTCAACAGCTTAAAACAGGAAGTAGGGGCTTGCAGCAGCTGGAGGCAAGTCCTGGGGAAAAGGTGTCTAGGTAGAGCACCCTCTGCACTCACCTGGCTATGCTCCAGGAAGGCAAAAAGCCACTGCAGCTTAGTCATCAAGGGCTGTGAGTTGTTCTCAGTCAAACGGAGCACACAGTGTCTGAAGCTTCAAAACAAAGCAGGAGCACCCAGGGTAAGCCAGGGGCACCAAAGGGGCCCTGCTTCACCCACACCACAGGCAACCCAGTCTCCTAGCTAAAGCCGAACACTTCGAGCACACATGGGTCAGAGGTCAGGATCTGGGAAAGAGCAGCAGGCTAACAACGCAGCCATGAGGTGACCCTGCAGCTCCTTCCAGCTCTCCAGTCTATGAAGCAAAGATTCGAGTATCATATGGTCCCAGAGTTGAAACGGCAAACTGCTCAATATCAACCCTAGCTACTCACTCCCTGCTCCCCCAGGAGAAGGCTTGACCTTAGCCCTCCAACTCTGCTCGTATAGCCCCTTCTGAGGCCACCTGCCTGTCAGACTACCTCGAGTTGTTCCTCTACCTTCGAATGAGGGAAGCAAGGGTCACAGCGAGGAACATGCTAAAGAAGACGGTACTGTGAGGGCCGACTGGCTCCCAGTGACAGAAGCCCAACCCTGGGGTGACAAGAAGTAGCCCCTCCTGATAGAACAAGCTCACTTCTAGGCCCCAGCTTAGCTCCTGCTTCACAAAACATTCTGGGCAAAGACATCAGTCTTTGCCCAACTTGCAGCCTCCATAGAGAGCGACACTGCCACAAGGTGGTCGACTCAAGTCAGCCTGCAACAAGACAAGGCCCAAAACCAGGTGGGCATTTAGAAACCTGCCCAGTTACGGCGAAACAAGCACATGATTGTTTTTCTGGAAAGTCATGTTACTGTATTTTACAAGTGTAAATAATCTGCTGCAGGATGGAAATATAAAAAATAAAGAAATGAAACCAGTTTTGCAACAGGCACAAGCAGCAGCACCCAGAAAGTTCAGCTGCCAGCAACAACTGCTATCTATTAGATACAAAACTCAAAAGACACTCACTTCAGGACATGTCATAAGGCAGAATCGAAGCTGACTTTCACCACAACTTTTTAAAACGATGCCCAAGTGTGATACTGGTGAAAAAACTAGTTGATTAAATCAATGGAACAGAACAGAGAGCTGAGAAACAGACCCCCACTTAGACAGTCAACTAATCTTTCACAAAGAAACGAAAGCAACACAATGAAGCAAGGACAACTGGCCAACAACGGTGCTGGGACAAATGGACATGCCAAAGCATGAACCCGGTCACAAAACTGACATTCTTTGCAAAGATTAACTCAGAATGGATTACAGACCTACATGCAAAACAAAAAAGTATAACACTCCTAGGGCAAATGGTAGTAATACAGGGAAGATGTTCTTAGATATGTTAAAGATTTTTTAGATACAACATCAAGATACAATCCATGAGAAAAAATAACTGATAAGCTGGTCTTCATTAAAATTAATTCTCTGCAAACACACAAGAGTATGAAGAGAATAACAAGACTTGTCACAGACTGCAAGAAAATATTTTCTAAAGAAACATCTCATAAAGGAATGTTATCCAAAATATATTTTAAAAATCCTAATACTCAACAATAATAAACAACCCAATTTTAAAATGTGCAACACTTCACCAAAGATATACTGATACCAAATAAGCGCATCAAAAGACCAATAAAACCGACAAATCTCTGGCTGACCTACAAGATAAAAAACTCAAATTTACTGAAATAAGAAATAAAAGTGAGGACTTACCACCAAATCAATAGAAATAAAAAGATTTTAAAAGTACCAAGAATAGTCACAACTGAATAACCTAGGTGAAACTGACAAATTCTGAGAAACAGAAAACCTACCAAAACGAAAGCACAACAAAATGGACAATTTGAATGGAGTTATAAATAGCTGGACTATAGACCCAGTAATCAAAAATCTTCCAAAAAAGAAAAACCCCGTAACTTATGACTACTCTGATGAATTCTATTAAACATTTAAAGAACCATTAGCAAGCCTAATGATTTCTCTAATATTTCCAAAAAAAATTGAAGAGGGGGATTATGGTTTATTTCATTCTATAAGTCCTGCATAATCCTGGTACCAAGGACTACAAGGGAAATACAGATCAATATTCTTTAGTAACACTGATGTGGAAATCCTTAACAAAATACTTGCAAACAGAATTGAGCAGTATATTGAAAGAATTAAATACCACAATCAAGTGGGATTTCTCCCTGGAATGCAAAGACAGTCCAACATATAAAAAATCAATTAATGTGATACAACACATCAATAAAGTGAAGATTTAAAAAAGAAAAAAAATTGATGCAGAAAAAGTATTTGAAAAAATTCAACAGCCTTTCATGATAAAAGCACTCCACAAAATGGGAAGAGAAAGAAACCACCTCCACGGAATAAAAAGCACATATGAAAAACACAGTGAACATTAATGCTAATGGGTGAAAAACTGAAAGTCTTTCCTCTCAAGTCAGGAACAAAACAAAGATGCCTGCTTTCACCATTCTACTCTATAAAATTCCAAAAGTCCTACCCAAAGCAATTAGATGAAACAAGTAAGTGATCCATGAAAGAAAAAGTAAAATTATGCTTGCAACTAATATGTTCTTAAATATAGAATAATCTAAAGATTCCACATAAAAGCTGTAAACCTACAATATTAATTCATCAAAACAGCAGGATACAAAATTGACAAAAATCAATTGTCTTTCTATGCAATAACAATAAACAAGAAAAGGAAATTAAACATCACTTACAAAAGTATAAAGAATGAAACAGATTAATACAATGACGGCTATAAAATATTGAGAAAAGAAATAAAGAAGACATAAATTGAAACATCTTATGATCATAGCTTGGAAGAAATATGATAAAAATCAGCAAAATGTCAATATTACTCAAAGTAAGCTACAAATTCAGTGCAATCTATATCAAAGTAAAATTCACGAGAGTTCAAGAGGGCCCAAACAACCAAAAATTTTTTGAAAACAAAATGGGAGTATTCAAATTTCCTGATTTCAAAACATATTACAAAGTTAATGTAATCAAAACAGGGTGGTATCAGCATAATATTCGATATATAGGACAATGGAATAGATTACAAACCCCAAAACAAACCCTTTCATATACAGTCACATTACTTTTGACAAGGGTGCCAAGACCAGTAAATGAAGAATGATGGATCTTTTCAACAAATGGTGCTCAGAAAACTAGATATCCACATACAGAAGGATGAAGTCAAACCTCACCTCAACTTGAAATGTATCAAAAATTTAACTGTACCATCTAAAACAAAAGACTCTTAAAGAAAAAAAAAGGGCTTCCTAACACTGGATTTGGTCATGATGTCTTGCATGTGACATCACACACACAGACAACAGAAGAAAAAATAGCAAACAATATCATGAAAATTAAACATTTTGTGCCTCAAAAGAGACTATACAGGGATACAGTTGAAAATGGTGTTGTAGAAATACTCAGAACCCACCTCCTCCTATGGACAAACAAATGTTCAGCTACATACAGAACAATCACTTCTGAAAGAAACTCAAGAATAGAGTAACTCTACACAACTGGGGGAGTGGGGAGGGAACACATCAAAATGACAAGAGAGCCTGAAACACACAATGTTACCATAAACCCAGTGCAGCAATCCATAATCAGGAGGGAACTCACAATGCCCACCTTCTTGAGAAGCAAAGTTTGAAACCCAAATTTTAAAACCTGCACTTGAAATAGGATACCCAAAAATCTGCTTTTGAAAGTCAGTAGGGCTTGCATCCATGGCACTCAAAGGTCAATAGAGAAGTTCTTAAAGGACTTGTGCAGATTCACCATGACTAACTTCCCAGTGCAGAGGTAACCCACTGAATTATGTCCCATCTTCCATAAAAGAGGCCTATCTTTTCATCTTAAAAGTTTCAGCCTAGGCCCTCCCTGGTGGCGCAGCGGGTTAAAGCACAGCACTGAGAAGCTAAAGCCGCTTCCGCATGAGTTCGATTCCCGCCTGCTCCGGAGGTGACCACATGGCGTGGCAGACCTCTCCTGACCCGCCCGCTGCTCCCCTCAGCAGTGTACTTCGTCGATCTGCCTGTTCTGCTCCCCGCTCTGTCTCTGGTGAAGCCTCTCGCAGCCCCTGAGCCTCTGGCCTGTACCCCAGTTCTGAATGAACAAATAAATAAATCTTAAAAAAAAAAAAAAGTTTCAGCCTGCAGAGCAGCTAGGGCAGGGTTGAACAAGGTTCATCTATACAAGACACAAGGTAACTCCCTCTGATTTAACATAGCTAAAGCGTCTACTAAAATGATCTCCAAGGACAGGTGAGGTTGACAGAGCTATCTTCACATTCTCCCTCTGCCTCACCCCAGATCACTTGGCATTTAGGCACCTCTGGAACCCTTGCTTTTTAGCTGCCACTCAGGAACAACCCTAGAATTCCTGGCTCTGGTAGCAAGCAGGGCTCACATTCACAGTCCCAAAGGACTCGGAAAGAGAAAGAGATCTTAACCAGCTATCCCCAAAGGAACACTGCAGAGGCAGCAGACAGATGTCTAGTCTTACATGAAAGGAGCTTATTAGTTTATCTTTAGAACTGCAGCCTGAGGGAAAGACTTCTAATAAAACACACGTGAATGGGCTAACTGCAGTCCTCTTCAGACACTGGCGGACTGGCAGACAGCTCCTCCTCTGCCCCACACAAGCTCACTGGAGTCTCTGTGAAAGGAGCTTGTGTTCAGACCTGGGCCCATGGCTTCTGTGGCTGTTCCCCAGAGGACACAAACACTGGCTCTGGTGTTCAACACGGCTTATTTTTATGGAATCAACAGAATTGTAGAAGACAAATGAACAGTCTATCTCTAGCTACCCCACCCCACCCCAGGCTCAGTGTAAACATAAATGCACAACCCTTCACATTCCCCTTAAGTTTTATATACTATAAAAGCTGCTTTCTAAGGGCTTCGCTTCCAAACAGTCAGCAGCTAAGTGCTCACTGAAACGCTCCCTTCGGAACACTAACAGACGGCGGCATACTCTCAACTATTAGAAGTCACTAAGAACAAAGTAGGCTACTTGGACAATCACAAAAGTCTGAAAGATAA